TCAAAAAGCCCTGGGGAGTGCAAACTTCAGCAAACCGTGAGAGAGTAGGAATCTGCGTGCTTCATGTCGGAGTCTCCAAGAGCGACACCGCACACGCCTGCTTTGTTTGCTAACTCGTGGCGCTTAGGGAGGACACCGTGGACTTCTCTGCCCCTCTTCAGACCCGCCCATGCACTCGGTGACTTCAGCCTTCTAGAAGAGGCCATGCAAACACAACCTGGCCACTGTATGCTGGTCATGTGATGCTCTTCCTGTACAGGCAGCAGTCTGAGGAGGGAGACAAAAACGGGTCCGAAGACGAGGACGAGGAGAAACCAGGGAAGAGGGTAATGGGGCCTCGGAAGAAGTTCATCTGGGATGACAAACTCAGGTTGGTTTGCCAGCAGGTGGAGGTTTTTCTGCAGATGTGTCTTCGATGTGCGGGCTCGTCCGCTGATGACCTGCGTGCTTCCTCCAGGCTGCTGCTGTGTAACCTGGTGCAGGTGAAGCTGAGCTTTTACAAGCTGGAAGGCAAGAGCTCACTGTCTCTGGAGGACTACCTCAAAGCCTTCATGGAGACCGAAGTGAAACCTCTGTGGCCGAAGGGCTGGATGCAGGCCAGGTGTGTGAAGCATGCGGAGGTCGTGTAGAGGTCGACATCAGGACGCGCGGCGTCTGTTCATGCTTGATTCTTGTTTGCAGGATGTTATTCAAAGAGAGCACCATGGTTCACGGTCATCTAACAGGCTACACGTGAGTCATGTGACCTCTTACATCACCAACTTCAGCCTGGGCTGTGACTGTTGACGCCGCTCACGAACGATGTTTAAGCGTCTTAAGTCGTTCACAGGGTTGTCGTCTCCTAGCGTCGGCCTCAGAGCCTCATGCTCATCCAGCTGATTCAGAAGGACACAGCCGTTAGGTGGCTGAAGGCACACATTTCCTTCCACATGCTAACCGGTTCTGCAGCTTTTGTTTGGACCCATAAACCCAGCGGACCCACTGAGACCTGATTAATCACAGCTAGCGCTGCCAGGATGAGTCGATTAGTCACGACTTCATCGGCAAGTGTAATAATCATCATTTACGCGTTGAACCTTCGTTTCTGCACATGCGTGCTGGCGGGCCTGCCGGGGTGTCACGGGCAACGGAGAGTGAGAGTTTAGGAGAACTTTATAAAAATTCTAGAGAAGCAGGTAGAACCTGCCATCCATGACGGTACGTAGAGGGGGGGATCCTCTGTTAGCTAGTGAGCTGCTAACATCAATAGTGAGCTCCAACATGAACAGTAGTGTTAGCATTACTGTTGCGCTCCAGTCAGACTTTGTTACCAAGGCAACAACATGCACGCCCCTGCCCGACTGGGTGTAGACTCATTCAAAGATTTTGTTTACATCCGGGTAACTCATCAGCTGGAGGGTAAGAACCCTGTCTCCAGCCATTATCCAGGGTCTCGTTTATCAAACATGGCGTAGAATCCTTACTAAAACGTACTTAAGCTCAGCTCAGCAAAAACAAAGTACTTACGCCAAGCAGGCGTGTGATCTATCAAACATGGAGGACGCACAGCTGCACACAATCTCCGCTTCATAAATCGGAGACTAACGAGAATGTTTCTCAGCTGATTTTTAGTCACATCTCGCCCTCACCACGCCCACTTACTGCCATAAATGGTCAATGCAAAGTGCCTTGTGGACCTCATGCATATACATAAGCCGGCTGTTGCAGCGCTCCACCAATGACATGGCGACCATAGATCAAGGCAGATCAAGCAAGCGATATTTCACAGAAGCAGAAGTTGAGGTACCTGTGGGTGAGGTGGAGAAATGAAAGGAAGTGCTTTTACAAAACAAACAAGAGAAAATCCACGGAGTGGCACAGCGTTGCTGAAGCCGTCAATGCTGACTTCTTCAGAGAGATCTGTGGCGGATATTTAAAAATGGTCCAATCAGGATTCGATCCCCAGACTCCGGGGTGAAAGTCACGCACGCTAACCAGTCAGCCAAACGGAGATCTCCCCTGTACAGGTAGCCAGGGCGCATGATCAATCGGGTCACAGTAACAGGACACACACAAACTACGTTTACATGCAGCCAATATCCGGGTTATGATCGGGTTAAGGTCGGGATTCGGGTTTCTGAGTTGATCAGAATAACCCGTTTACAAGCATAGATAGAAAGAGTTACCTCTAACTTGCATAACCCGATTTAAATGCGGACGTTGGGGTAGCGTCAGGACGTATGGACTACGTCCAGACGCAATATGCGTCATTTCCGGTTCTTCTTGTTCCAGTATCCGTGAAAACAACAACATGATTCCCAGTTCGGAAGAGATAGCGACCGTGTTTGTTTGTGCTTTAGTTTCCTCGTCACTCCAAAAGTGTGGTGCTGTGCCGCGACTCGCCATGTTGCTCCCAACTTGTTGTTTACTTCCGGAGTTCTGGCGTGTACAAGACGTCTCGCTACTCAAAAGACCAAGATTCCTTGTGAACAGAGCATGTGCAGAACACACGCTTTGATGGGGATATCCCGATGTGCGTTTACACGACCAAACATTCGGGTCAGAAAAGGGTTACCCCAGGTGTAGTAACCGGGTTTTTAAAAGGGACACACGCAGCGGGATATATGCTCGATTCCTGGAGGGAGTGGAAGATCGTATGCCTCTCTCAGCCGTCCATTGAGGATGTCGAAGAGGTGTGGATGTTTGGCCTGATGATCACTGGATCTCTTCTGATTGGAGTGGGAGGATATTGGGTTTTCTGGAAATTTGGGAAAACGGGAGCGATTGGAGGGCGACCCACTCCCACGTGTGTGTGTGTGTGTGTGAACATGAAGCGGTACAAGTGATAATGCTGCAGGATTTCATAATTTTATCTTCTCAGCAGCAGCACTGCAGGTGCTCTCCATGTCCAACATGTGTGTAAGCCAGGAGGTCCTTAGTCAACCTAAAGTTGCGCACATTTTTCCGCTACGTTTTCTTTCATAAATCCCAAAGTTTGTGTGGAAAGTTGTTTACGCAGTTTTCCGACCCCGTTTTGTGCGTAAGCTAGCTTGGTAAATGAGGCCCCAGGTCTCTGTCTGCCAGGATGTGGGTGGTTCATCCGCTAGAAGTGGCCGTTAACCACTGCCGTCAGCGTGTTTTAGCAGCTGGAAGCCTGTCCTGTCGTCTACTGGTGCAGCACGTGTTAACCATGCTGATAGATTTTATTTTGATGCCGTTTAGCTCGTTATTAACAACTGACTGCTGAACACAGCTGTGGTCAACGGGGGGGGTAACTGCCTTCTTGCCCTCCAGCCTGGGGCTGGGTGGTGGGGGTGTGGGCAGCTGCATGCTGTTGTGGCGAGCTATAATTTAATAATGGGTGACTAGTCGATGTTCAGGAGCGGCGTTGGTCACCGCTGGTCTGAACCCAGTTGGAATACTGAAAACCAGTAGCCAGCAGTCCCAGCCCAGTGAGATCCCATCTCCTGCCCTCTGCTCTCACTTCCTGTTTTGTTGTTTTGCTGCAGAGTGAAGAAGAAGATGATCCCGACACCAAAGGCCAAACCAAAGGTCGGTTATTGTCGACGTGCCTAGTAGCTCTAGAGTGCACCAGCGTTGAATCAGGCAAAACTCTAGTGATGTTTGTGAGATGGAAGCTTCGCTTGGTCCACATGTTGATGTTTCATCTGCTCTTCCAGGAGGTGGCCTGGGTTCCACGGCCGGTGCCCTCAGCGGGTCTCACGCCGTCTCCTGCTGCTCAGGTTACCAAGCGGCCACCCTCACCGTCGGAGCCCATATGTCTGGACTCTCTGGACGACGCTCCCTCCCTCGACTCCATCTCTCAGGCCTTGGCCATCCTGGGCAACGCCGCCAAGGGGCTGGCCCAGGGAGACAGCCCCCCCTCCCCAGAAAAACCCAAAACCTCCACCCCCACCATGCACGGCTCGCCTCTCCTCCAGCAGCAGAGGAAGAACTCCGTCGGCACTCCCGCCTCCAACACACCTCACTACATTTCTACCTCTTTGTCCTCTTCCCCCGCTCTGTCCCGCTCCGCCCCCAGCACGTCCTCTCCTCTGACCTCAGTGCGGGCGGAGGTGATGGGGGCTGTTAAGGGGGGGGTGCAGACACACAGACACCCTGTTCTGAACACCCAGAGACCTTTGAGTGTGGGTGTGGTAAAAACTAGCATACCTGCCTCTGCTTCTTCACCTAAACCACGCCCCCCACCCACTGCGTCTCCTCTGATGGCTCCAGGATCAAAGATGGGAACCTCCGCCTCCCCCTCTGTGCTCCTCAAAGGCAGCAATAACAAAGCTAGCAGTGGCGACGCACTTGTCATTACGTCACCTCAGACCCGACCGCACCCCCTCACGTCCACCTCCGTAGTCATCCCTAAAACCTTCCCGACTTCCCGCCTGGCTCAGACCCCACAGAGCAAAGCGGTCCCCTCCCCTCAGACCCTGTCTGGTGTTCAGACCCAGCCCCAGTCGAACTTCATCACCCCCATGCACGCCACGCTCACCAAGTCCACCCACAGCAGCATCCCTCCCATCGTCAAACTCACTCCCCGAACACTCAACCCCATCGTCGCCACCACCGCTGCCGCCTCGCCTTCCGCCTCACAGAGTCCTCGCTCCCAGGCAGCCACCCCCCTACACCAGTACACCCCCAAAACCCCCGCAGGCTACCGGCCGCCATTCTCAGGGGGAGGAGCCACCAAGTCCGCCCAGAGCAGCTACACTCCTCCAAGCAGCCAGAAGACCCCCACCACCACCAGCCTTATAAACACTTTACCCATGAGCAAGCATTCAGGAACCAGCGCCCCCCCGAACACAGCCTCTCCTGCCTCCGCAGGTCAGCGCCAGAGGCCCGGAGGGGGGTCACCTCAGGTGGCGAAGCCAGTCGTCTCTGTCCCGCTGTCACAGGTTTGCACATCCTGTAGTCATGGTAACAAGAATAACATGTGTCTCATCTGTCCCAGAAGTCTTTCAGACTAGCGTTTGTTCCGTTTTCTGCTGTGACCTTTGACCTTTAGACTGCAGTCTAGACTGAGGGTGTTTCTCAACGTCAAGAACCTGGCCTGGCGAGGCGATGTCTTGCGAGGCAAGGCGCCTTGCTTACGAGGACACTGTCCTTCCTTGGTCAAAGAAAACGGTTAAAGGGAACAGGCTTGCATCACGTGACCGCGGCTTCCACGGCGGTCACGTGACACAGGAGATAACGTTATATTTTATACGTATTAGTTTATATATAAATATATAATGAGCCTTTTACTTTTTAAATTGTGTATATGTTTATTAAATTAAATATATAAGTGAGTAACTACCCGCTAGCCACCAAAGCTGCAGCTACTAAGCAACCATAGATAACTTCTCTGGATCTAAAAAAACATTTTAAATTAGCTGACTTACTTTTAAACTTGAAAATTGTCCCCGAAGTAGCTGCCGGCTTCTGATCCGCCGTCGTTTTGAAAATACCGCGGTGTATTGTGGGTAATTTTTGACCAAGGCTAGGCTACAAGACACCTCCCATGTGTCCTCCCTCAGCTAGCTAAACGGCTAACAAACGGAGAACCCACGCCTCGGTAGAACATGAACATTGGAACACGTCTTGGCGGCTCCTGATCTCCTAGGCAACCGGGGCGGGGCCAAGACATCAAGGCGAGGTTCCTTGGCATTGAGAAACACCCTGAGATGGAGCTTTTGGGGTGTTTCTTTGAACAGTGACCTCTGACCTTTGGATTGCTGGGATGTCCACGCCTGGGCCTAAATGTTTGACCTTTCTGATGACTCTCCTCTTTGGGAACGACCTTTAACCCTTGCAGACTGTTATTAGAAACACCTGCTCGGGTTAGGCCACCCTAAAACCACCAGAGGGCGGAGTTTAGCTCTACTCTGCTGTTTTCTGCACAGGTGTCCACGACCGGAAGCAGCAGTTTGTTGAGCTCCGCGCCGTCTCTTCCCCTGGGCTTCGGGATGCTGGGAGGTCTGGTTTCCCTGCCGTTCCAGTTCCCCCCCATGCTGAACCTGTCCCAGCTGGGCTCGGGAGGCTCCAGCCCAGCAACCAGCAGCTCAGCGGCCAGCAGCAGCGCGGCCTTCTCCACCCTGACGCAGAGTGAGTGACGGACAGACATGCTACTCTGATGTGTGGCAGGTGCATCGTGTAGGAAGTGATGGGTTTGGTTGAAACCGGTGGAGACAGGAAGCAGACTGCGGTGTGTGTTGCTGCGCTGCCCGTGTGTGTGTGTGTGTGTTAGCGTCGTTTGTGAGATCACCGCAGCGTTGGGATGAAAACTAAATGTAATTAATGTGAGACATTCTTCCATTTTGTTTGCTTCATCTCCCAAATCTTCTCTTTTCCGTTTCTTCCCCACCTGCTTTTTTAACCTCCTTCCCTTCATGTCCTGCTGTCTCATCCGTCCTCCTCGTTTGCGTTTGTCCCTCCTGTCTTCGCCGCCCTGTCCTGTCTCCTCAGATCTGTATAAGAGTCTCCAGTCAGGGTCTCAGGTTGCTCTGCCTCCTCACTTGCAGCTCGCTTTCTCAGGTAAAATCGGACCCTTCCTGCGCCTGCTCCATTCCGCCTCCCCGCCCTTCTCTGATGCGTCACGTCGTCTTGGTTTTGTCCTCATTTGTTGGTGGCGGCATGTCTTAAGTGGACTCTATCAAACCCGCGCGTTCTCGGGCTGATGGTCTTTGTCCTCTTTCTGCCCAGATGTGAGTCAGAGCCAGGGAGGAGACGCCAAGAGAAAAACGCTATGATCCAGCTGGACTCTTCAGGGTGCAACGCGGGTTCGATCGGCCGGTTCCGGAGTGGGCTACACCTCACCGATCAGCTCACTCGACCACATCAGAGCCCTTTTTTAAAATCTATTTTCTATCTTCTTCATGGAGTTCAATAAATACAAACGGCATTTTCAATGTTTACAAGCTAGACCTGAATCACTGTGGAAAGGGAGGGATCAACCTGGCCAGACGGTGCCTTCTGTACATCTCCCGCTCTGATGCATCCACCTGGTGCTGTTTTCAAACTACCGTGTAATTATCACAGACTTCTGTATGAAATGTAAACTGCAAATTGCTAAATGAGCATTTTTTTTATATGAATACATGTTTTTATTGTACTTGTATTGGATGAATTTGTTTCTGTATAGAACCCCTGCCTTCTTTTAATTAAACCCTTAAAGCCGGACGGACACTGTGCAACTTTTTCACTTTTTTGAGCCGATTTTCCACTCGTGCGAGAATCCACGAGATCGGGGCGAGTTTAGCGTCGAGTCGTGTACAGGGGGTTACGAGAGGCGATTAACACCACGTGACCAGCTACCCATCAGCAATCGTGAGCTCGCACGGACTTCTGGCGTGTTTGATATTTTGCTCGTCCCTCGTGAGGGTATCGCACTGTTGAAGCGGCGCTGCGACCCAAAAAGTATCAGAACCGCTCACGGCGCATGCGCAGTCATGCATCAACACCGCTCGCCCGCTATTTTCCTAATTGTTTTAATTTCTACACGTTTTTTTACTCAAATATTGTCAAGAAAGCGTGTTTGTTGTGTTCGTGTCAAATTAAACTGATCACAAAACAGATTTACTTTATTTCGTTTTCCTAATCCAACCCCCATAAATCCCCGTGTGTCCTCCTGCAGCACTCCCGAAGGAAAACAGGCAAAACAAGACAAAAGTGACGTGTTGTGTAAAAACGGCTATTTTTAGCATATTTTTAGGGCCGACGTGTTGCTACCAGACGTGCAGTGTGAGCGCATGACTCGTGAGATCTGCCCTGCGAGGAAGTCGTACAGTTTGAGCAGAAGCTGAGTGCTACGAGTGAAAAAGTCGCACAGTGTCCGCCCGGCTTAAGGGTGAGTAGCCGAAGCTAAACATTACGACAGCTGTTGGTTTTAAACAGCTGTCCTGATTTAATGTTGAATGTTTTTGGGATCATAGCGCTCCCACACGAGTAACCTCCTGCAGAAATCATACAACAGCCTGGATGTGAAAGTGCCGAGCGTAAATGACAAGTCCTCACACAGGTCGACCTGAGAGACTTGACGTCATGCTGGTAAAGGTTTAGTCTCACTAGTGAAACCACCCTGGAGTCCAACAGCACGAATGTTTTACACAAAACACGATTAGCAACTGGATCCAACAGTGAAACAAAAACACATCCATGGAAAGTTGATTTAATTGGAACCAAATCAGCTCCACTGAAAGAACAAAAACGGACTTTCTAAACTTAACAGCGTGTACGTTTCTCAAATGCGTTTTGACACATGAACAAAAAAGGCAAGTCAAAAATGAAATTATAAAAAAAAAAGAGGAAAAGGGCATGTTGGTTTAAGCAGTTTGTGAAAGACGGCGGTAAGGGGCGACTGAACCGGCAGCACGAGAAGGTCGACACTGGCCGTCTCTTGCTGGATGGAGCTGACATTTTGCTTCGCCTCTCTGGAAACTATTTGACCAACGGTCTGGTTTTATCATCGTCGCCACACTGGTGGGCTTTGTACTTTTTCACCTCAGCCATGTATTTTGACCAGGCATCGCTCTTGCCTGGCTCAGCCTGCGGGAGAGAGACGACCAAGGTTACCGGCTGGAGTCCAAAACACAACCAGGATCAAAATCAGCTCACTTACATCTGTGTCCTGTTTCTGCTTCTTTGCAACCATGCCGGTCTTTAGGAACACACCGCCTCGGCGCTTCCCCACCTGGGTTAGGGGATAGAAGACTGAAACCGTTACAGGGGTCCTTGCAGGTGGACTGCCAATGAAGGAAACTACACCAGGGCAGAGGGACTACATCTAGCCTCCTGCTGCACCACCAGTGAAACTAGCGGGGAGCATTCCTACTCCAGACTGATGCTGGATTGTAAATTAATCGGAAAAAATAATATAAAACACGTGTCAATGACATGATCTGAGTGAATAATTTACTAGGAATAAACTCATCTAAAGCCAGCTAAGAGGCGTCTATCTCATCTTACAACTGCTGAGCCCCTTACAAAGGTCGTCACAGGTGGGGCCTTCCTTTCCACTGAGGTCTGTCCTTCATCGGTGGCTCGTGCCTCTCCACCTGTTTGCTGCACCTCTTTCCTCATTTTCTCCTCCTCCATCTTCTTCTTGAAGAGCTCCATGAAGCTTCCGTCGTTGGCGAACGCGTTAGCCGCCGGGAACGAGGCCTGGCTCGCGGGCTGAGCGGGGCTACTGCCGGACGGGGACGCCGGGCTGCCGCAGCTCGAGTCTCCGCTGCTTGCGCTGCTAGCCCGAGACTGGCCACAAGCTCGCTTGGACTCCATCGCTCCTTAGCGGGATTAGAACACCGACAGTCCCGCGACTAAAGGCGAGCAGCTTCGTTGCGGGTTCGCAGCGGTAGCTCTTACAAAACAACCAGAACGCTCCTCGTTGGGACCCAGAAACAGACGATTTTACCAAAAGCAGAAATAACACTTGGAAAAATATCGATAAAGTGGTAAATAGATAATCAGTTTTAGTCCTTATGCGCACAAAATCTGCCTTTGCCAAAACAAAGAAAGGCTATCTTGGTGGCTAACGTTGCTGCTAACACTGCGGGCTAATGCCCCTATATTCGAGTTTTTTACGGACAAACAGGTTTATGCTTAGTCTCAAAATGTCGAAAGATTTGCCACCATAGATAAATAGTTTAAAACACGCAAAAAAGTTCAATAAGATGAAAAAAATCTAATAAACTTAAGGTTATTTTCGTTGTTAACTTTCGCCAGCGATTACCGTCAGTCGGCCATGTTTGACTTTATGTTGAGTGCGACTGGGCTGCAGTGCCACCTACCGCACCGGAAGTGGAACCAACAACCAGCTTTAGTCCGTGAGGCAGACACTTTTAAGAATAGGCTTAAAACATTTTTATTTGATAGGGCTTATAGTTAAAATCTGATGTTAGCCTAAATCTGGACAAGTGGGGGAGTACAGGGAGGTGGAGTGTACAGTCGGTAAAGACGGCTCTCCCTTGCCCTGCCTCCAACATGCCTCCATCTAAAATGATAAATGACCCGCACTTGTACAGCGCCTCTCAGAGTAAGGACTCCAAAGCGCTTTAGACTACAGTGTATCATTCATCCATTCACACTCACATTCACACACTGAAGGTGATGAGCTACGATGTAGCCGCGGCTGCCCTGGGGCGCACTGACAGAGGCGAGGCTGCCGAGCACTGGCGCCAACGGTCCCTCCGACCACCACCAGCAGGCAACCTGGGTTGAGTGTCTTGCCCAAGAACACAACAGCAGAATTCTCTGTCCGGAGCCAGGATCGAACCTGCAACCTTCTGATTACTGGACAACCCGCTCAACCTGTTGAGATACAGGCTAGGTTATCCAGTGTTATCTCTGTAGTTATGCTGCTATAGGCTTAGACTGCTGGAGGACACACTGACCACTTTCCACACTCTACTACTTTCTTCTACTATCTGCTCTTTAACTGTATTATTTCCTATTTCAGCTGTTAACTTTATTTTCTCTCTAAGTGTTTCTCTCCCCAGAAGAAGCTACAACGATGTTCTGCTGAGCTGTGGTGGCCTCATGGAGGGGGCCATCGTCTAGCACACTGCTGCTAACCACTTAAACATTCTCCCTCTCCTGATAACTTTTTGCTTTCTTTGACGTTGAATGTGCTACTACTAGTTTATCCGTTTAATTATAGATCCACTAGGATAAATACAATAAAGTTTATCTCTCTCCAAATCGAATATTTACTAAGAAGTCACAATATAACCACAGAAACAATACTTGGTGTGTGTGTGTGTGTGTGCGTGTGTGTGCGTGCTCTGTCTTCTCCATCCCCAGTGAGTCGTGGAGGATGGCTGCTTATACTGAGCCAGGATCCTCTGGAGGTTTCTCCCTGTTAAAAGGGAGTTTTCCTCTCCACTGTCGCTACATGCTTGCTTAGTATGAGGATTGCTGTAAAGACTCTGACACTAGTCAGTGACTCGATGCAGCCTGCTGGGTTCCTTATATAGGAAACATTATTTCTGATTGGCTTAACGACCTGACCTGTATTGGAATGTTTATTATGTGAAGTGCTTTGAGACGACTCTTGTCGTGATTTGGCGCTTTATAAATAAACTTGAATTGAATTGAAACACTTCTGAAAATAAAACTTTTTCCTTGCTGTTTTTTCTGCTGGGTGCTAAAAATGATTTCTGATTTGTCCATTTTTACAACCAGACTGAAGATCGTTCCTTATTTTTTATACTTATTTATTTTTTGTTATAAAAACCATCTATAAATCTATGAATAGCTCACATGGATGGAGGTTTTACTCTTTAGTTTGTTTTCATGTTTATGATTTCTTTAATTCGTCACATCTTTTCTGTTTTAGCTGCTTTAAACATAAATCTATAGATGGGAAAGGTGCTCTGTGACGTGACGTGCATCGCGATCTAGCTACAAATGTTATAACGTTAGTACTTCACACTCGTCTTAGTAATAAACGATGAATGAAAAAAACATTTTGTTTTACTGCGCTAACTAAACTTAGTATACTGGGCTTTTAAACTTTTGCCAAAGTAATTTTTAAGAAATGTGAAAACCTTGAAAATGCATGAAATGAAATATTTTCAGGTGTGTTCTAAACACCAGGGGGCAGTATAAGCTCAGACAAGCGGATGTATGGAAGGCTGCACCCAACAACGTGAGACCCTGACACTTTTCATTATTATTGTTATGAGAAATTACTTCTTTCTTTTTAGTGGAACTTAGATTACTTTAATTTTGAACAGAAAATACAATTTAAGTGTTCACCATCCTAAATGTGTAGATGTGAAGTTTGGTGTAGTAATCTTTAATTATGAACGCTGATCACATTTCTAAATGATCTGACTCAGTTCTTCAGTAGTAGACTAGTAATTCCCCTTTCTCCCAAACAACCATCTAACACGATCTGACCGAGTCCTCCAAACACACCCACATCACCCCGCTTCTCCTCCAGCTTCACTGGCTGCCAGTCAACTTCAGGGTTCATTTCAAGATCCTGGTTCTGGTCTATAGGGCCTTACATGGACAAGCACCATCTTACATTGGTGATCTTCTTAGTCCCTACACCCCCAGCAGGTCCCTGAGGTCCAGTGACCAAAGCCACCAGGCTAAAGGTCAAAGGTGACAGATCATCTGCTGCTGTGGCCCCCAGACTCTGGACCTCTCTCCCCCTGAGCCTGAGATCAGTGGACTCAGTGGTCTCCTTTAAACTCATCTGTTCAGGCTTTGGCGGGACCTTCATCACCTCCCTCTCCTTATATTGGGCTGCATGGTGGCGCAGTGGTTAGCACTGTTGCCTCGCAGCACGAAGGTTGCAGGTTCGAATCTCGGCTGTGGCCTTTCTGCGTGGAGTTGCGTGTTCTCCCCGTGCATGCGTGGGTTTCCTCCGGGTGCTCCGGTTTCCCCCACAGATCCCAACATGCCCTACAGGTTATAAACTGTAAGTCGCTTTGGATAAAAGTGTCTGCTAAATAAATAAATAAACATAATTCTGCCTTCCCCAGGATCCAGGATTTCCCTCCTTCCTAGTCTCTCTCTCTCTTTCTTTGCATATTCTAATCACAATTGTCTAGTTTTGCTTATTTTAAACATATTTTTAATCATTTTAATATGTAAAAATGTTTGTTTTTGTGAAGCGCCTCATGATTTTTATCTTGAGAGGCGCTACAGAACAGATCGTTTCTTTTTCTTCACGATGCTTCCACCCCCAGACCTCGTAATGGTGTTCTTGAGCGCCATTTCTTCTCCAAACATGGTGTGCCGAATGGTTTCTGACCAGTGATCCACGGGCTTCTCCAAATGCTGTTTCACAAACGAACGAGTTTATTATTGGGGGAACACATTTTGGAAATCTAACAAATCTGTGATAGGTCAATCCCCTAAAGGATTATTAGGAGCACCATACCAATATGGTGTTTGACCCCCTTTCACCTTCAGAACTGTCTTAATTCTACGTGGCGTTGATTCAGCAAGGAGCTGAAAGCATCTTTAGAAATGTCGGCCATATTGACAGGATGGCATCTTGCAGTTGATGGAGATGTGTGGGACGCACATCCCGGGCACGAAGCTCCCGCTCCACCACATCCCAAAGATGCTCTATTGGGTTGAGATCTGGTGACTGTGGAGCTTTATGACATGGTGCATTATCCTGCTGGAAGTAGCCATTAGAGGATGGATACATCCCCCACACCATGACACCACCACCACCAGCCTGCACAGTGGTAACAAGGCATGATGATCCATGTTCTTATTCTGTTTACGCCAAATTCTGACTCCACCATCTGAATGTCTCAACAGAAACGGAGACTCATCAGACCAGGCTACATTTTTCCAGTCTTCAACTGTCCACTGTTGGTGAGCTGGTGCAAACTGTAGCCTCTTCATCCTGTTAGTAGTGGAGATGAGTGGTACCTACCCGGTGGGGTCTTCTGCTGCTGTAGCCCATCCGCCTCAAGGTTGTGCGTGTTGTGGCTTCACAAATGCTTTGCTGCATTCCTCGGTGGTAACGAGGGTTGGTATAATAATAAAATAAATAATAAAATTAGTCCTCAAAAATACAACTTGCCTAATAATTCTGCACTCCCTGTACATTGCATCGCTGTAGAATTCCAGGGCTCATGGAGGCTTCCGGATCAGGACCACCAAGTGTTTCCACTCAGCAGGAAAGTGACCAGTCCCCACATGGACCCTGCGTACCTCCTGGGTAATGGAAGGTGTGCAGAAGTCTTTAAAGAGCAAGTCACCCCCTACCAGAGTATTACTCCACTCCACTCCCACTTCCTGTTTGAAAAATGCAACAAATGCTGTTGCCTAGCAGACCGAGAGGGCGGAGGCGCTAACAAATACACACACACAGGCTCACAACGACATTGTGACATCATATGGTACCAGCTAACGTTCTAGGGTACCTCTTAGCCCATAGCGATGGCAGATTTAAATAGAAATGCAGTGCAGAGTTTTTACCCGACAACACTGACAGTTTTAGGCAGAAAATTTAAATTTGAACTAAAATGCACTTGTAACGTCCAGCTATGGTCAGTTTTCGCCTACAGATTGACCTGCATGCCATCGGTCGTCTGCAGACATAAATTCCATTCACTGAGGTGGATTTTACGTTCTACCTTCCAACAAGCAACAAGATCGACCCCTCTACACACGTGTTACGTGTTTTTATTTATTTTTAGGGGTGCCAGTCAGGTCTCCCTTCTGACTTGTAGGATGTTTAATAATTAAAGGAAAGCCCGCTACAAAAGGACATATATCACTAGATATATATATATATATACCCTCATACAAAACAAAGAAAACAACAAATCATAAGTTCAGGAAGTCAATTCTGGAAGTCTGGAAGTTCTTCAGAAGTCCATTTATTCTTCCTCCTGAGGTCAGGCGTGGCATACAGGGGTATAACAAAAAGCTACAACACAGAATAAGAATTTACAATATGTACATTTTACTATATGAAGGGTAAAGAAATAAAAAACTAATAAATGTACTCGACGGTGACTTTAAGGAACCCAATGAGGAGTGTATGTTTTTACCAAAGTTTCCCCCTTTTATTATTCGATTTTCTCTTATATTTGACATCCTAGTCGTTGTGGGTTTAGACTCACGTTTCGATGTGAGATGAGGATTTCTTCAGCTGGAGGTCCAGAGAAGGCAGATTCTTCCTTTGAAAGAAATTCAGGTAAGGGAAGGTTTGTTTTGGTTTCTTTTCCAACAGATCGCTGTGCACTTACACCTGCTGTCGGCTGATCAGATAAAGTGGCGTCTTGGCGACGACGTCGGCTTCGGCGAAAGTTACCTCGTGTAGTTTATCAGAAAACATAAGTTGATATGGGGGTGACTTGCTCTTTAAAGGCCATCAGTCAGGACTAAAACAGCAGATATCCATTAGTACTGAAAGGGGGCGGGGTTTCTCGCTCCCAATACTTTAACACACCTGGTTTTATTCAGGTGATTAACAGGCTTCTTTAGAGCCCGAAGAGCTGCTGAACAGAGGAACCAGCCACTGAATCACGTGTGTTGGAGCAGGGAAACAACTAAAACATGCAAGGACCAGGGCTCCCCACACCTGTTCTATATAAACACAGACCAGTTACCATATTACACACACACACACGGTGTGGTTTGGTGACGGAGTGAACCGTGTTTGTGGAAAACTGGTGCAACAGAAAAACAACTCCACACGTCTGTTGCTGACGGCTGCACAAAGGAAGTGTGAGGTGTGACTAATCAGCTTGGCCTTTAGTGACGGCGGCGTTGCTGTAGGTGCAGCCAGCGGGGAGAGCGGTCCGACGCGAGCGTCTGGAGTCCAAAAGGAGAAGAACAACAAAACACGTCACCTTCGTTTAAGATCCAGTTTATTAGTTGTGCAAAATTAAAACACCACAGGTCCTGCATCAGAGCCCCGTGTGGCAGCAGCTCATCTAGCAGCCCCCCCCTACAGTACCACACCGACCGTGTGCCATAAATACAACTCCCCATGAGCACGATTACGGCCCGATCGATTACAGCAGAAAACATTCAGAGTGAAGGTTCAACAGCAGCTCCGACAAACAAAAACACAAACGTGGTCAGAACGTTTGGGTTTGGAGACAAACACACGAGAGAAGAGCTCCAGCACGGCTCGTACGTTCATCTCCACGCTACGAGTAGACACCATCTCTGAAAGTGCTTCGGGTGCTCCTCACAACCACACCCTGGTTCTCCCCTTAGGGAGGACGGACGAGCAAGAACCCCCCCCCCCCAAAAAAAAACGACGCATGAATCACACAAAGACGAGACCGAAGCGAGCGTGGGTCTGTAGTGTCATCTCGTCCAGATCGGGATCGTCCCGCATCTTCTGCAAGGCACCGGTGGGTCCCGTCCTACAGGAAAAGTGCTTTGGTGCGTTACGCTAACAGTCGGAGGATTTTCACATCGGTCTAGTGTTTGAGGTAAAAGACTGGAGCGACAGAAGAGAAACACCCGGTACAGACTTCGGGTTTCACCCACTAAAGCACACACGAGGTGCCGCCATCCCTCTACGTAACGACCCTTCACGGCCACCACTGGGACAGCAAGTCCGCCCCCAGCAGCTCCACTTTAAACAACATTTAAACAAAGTAATAAAAGCTCAGTAAAAATACTTCAGTTTCATTCCAAGAGGCTAAATCAGTGATAAAAGTCACGTGAAAAGGTGACAAAGCCTCCGTTTCATCGGCTCCTGCTTCGTCTGGACTCAGTAGCCCCACTGAGGCTCTGAGGAGGAGCCAGCAGGGGGCGCAGCAGCACAGAGGGCGTATTGCTACGAGGAGGATAGAGAGGTGCCGTGTTGGGTGCAGGGACGTCTCATCTTGGGTGGGGTCGGGTCAGACCCCTCCTGGCCATGGTGGACTGTCTCTGCTGGGCCAGGAAGGACATGGGCTGGTTGGAGGGAGCCCGCCGCTCCGCGGACACTTTCTGATGTAAAGCCATTCCCTGGAGGGGCGGAGGGGGGAGGATGAGGAGGATTCAGGCTGCGCGGGCGGTGGAGGGATGTCTGTGCTCACTCACCATGTTGTACCAGGCTGTGATGATGAGTTTCTCCTCCTGGTCGTGTCTGCTTCGGCTCTTCTCAAAGTCACACTGGAAAACAAAAACCCGTCAGTGTGAAACGTCGTGATGTAGAGCAACACGGGCCGGCCGTCGTGTTCGGAGCCCACCTCCAGGTGCTGGATCCTTCTCTCCTTCTCCGTCAGCTGATTCTTCAGAGCTTGGATGTCGGGAGTCCCCGCCGGCTGTTTGGGATCCAGGGTTTGGATCACCTGCACACAGGTAGAGCAGCGACTCTGAAAAGCTGCCGGACTCGAGCGCCCACGCCCACTCCAGGTGTCTCGTCTAGCTCGGGCCTCGCTTCGAGCCGCTCAAGCCCCTCTGGGGCGCTTTCAGCTACACTCACGGCTGACGGGATGAACCACGTCGAATCCCGCTTCTGCACATCGAGCCACTAAAACCCCACAAACAGGAAACCGCCGAGCTTCTACAGCTCCAGCGTTGGTTTGCAGATCGGTTTTTGTGCGTTTCTACGTAAAAGTTAAGGTCATCCTGCCTGACTTCATCAACAGCCTCATTTAGGAGAAACAGAGTCCACTTTTCACAGGACTGATGAGCTAACGGCTAGTCTGGATGCCTCAGCAGGTCAAACCAGAACAAGCCTTCCCAACAACAGTCACATGACCTAGGCTCCGCCCCTACACCCGGGGCTGAGCTCACTAAATAAAGTCAAATATGTGAAATTCAGATTTTTATGATGAACAAACTTTGAGGTGGAAGCTGCTTTAAAACAGCCTCGTCTGTTGAAACTAGCCGTTAGCCCATCAGTCCTCCACACGTCAACCATTTCTCTAAACAGAGGCCATTCAGGACGCTAGCGTAAACAGTCATGGCTCATAATGGATGAACCCATCTCCGTTTGGTCCCAAAACAACGGTTTGCTTCTCTTTACTCCTCAGACCTGCTGATCCGAGACGATCCTTACAGATGAGAGGTGCTTTTCAGCGCCGGACTGACCGTTCTGGCTTTCTCCATGTAGCGCTTGTATCTCTCCTCCATCTGCTTCATGTCCTCGTCCTTCTTGCGAAGGACCTCCTGGAGTTCGTCTATCTTCTTGGCCACTGAGAGAGAAGTGAAAACAAACGAGTGTTTAGAGGAGAAGAGAGCCAGACGAAGATTTCCAGCAGTTATCTGAAATCTCTCACTGCTGCTGGGCTCGAGGTCATCGATGACCTCCCTCTTCTTCTGGAGGTCTGAGTGGGCTTCATGGAGCTTCTCCCTGGAACGGTCACGAATCGCAGGTTCCACGTTAGACGTCACAAATAAAGGAGCAACAAGCAGAAGGGAAGTACTTACAGATGCTCCTCCAGCTTCTTCTTCAACAGGGAGGACTTCATAAATGAGAAAAGAGAGAAACTAATCACTAAAGAGAACTTTCTTTTTTTTTTTTTTTTTTTTTTTTTTTTTTTTTTTTTTTTTTTTTTTTTTTTTAACGTGTCCTGTCTGGCTGTGAAGCAAGCAGAATTGATGTCTGAATGCTGGTAACAAGCCTTACAGTTTTACTCTCAGGTGGAGCATCAGAGCATCTGCTTTTAATGTCTCAGGTGGAGCATCAAAGAGTCTGCTTTTAATGTCGCACCTGATATTTAAAACTTTATTGTTATTGTTTTTGAATGCTTTGTAATTTCGACCAGACACGGAGACAGAGGTGAAAGAGAAAGGAAAAGAGAAAAGGTGGGGAGAGAGGGGGTTAGGTGGGGGGGGGATTCAACAAAAATAAACAATAATGAACAAGAGTCTGCTTCTAGACCTGCAAAATGAGACGAGAAAAAAGCAAAACATAACAAAAAAATGGGACACAACACCAATATAACAAAATCAAGCTATCACTGCGTCAACTTGATGAAGAAATATATAATCAATCATTGTTTAACTAAACAGTCACACGATAATATACCACAGTGCATTGAGTGCCCACCATAGTCTTAAGACATGTGTTGAACGTGCCCAAGCCCATACTTATGAGAGCACCATGTGAGCACCTGTGTGTGTACACGCGCTTGTTTATGTAAGGTTTATCTATAGGAGCGTCCAATAGAGAGTGTGAGGGACCACAGATCTGCCCCCCAAAGACGCGTAGGAGACGGGGGGGAGCTCCAAGTCCCAGAGATCCAGGCGCTGCCCCAGAACACAGGAACCCCAAGGAGCCCGCAACCAGAAAGGCCCCCGCCCCCCTCGAGAGGCACAGAGGATCGCCCCGGGGGGCCACAACCAGCAGCCGGCAGAGCCCCGGGAGATATCAGCGGCAAGTCCTCAGGCCTGCCCGCAGCCTCCCACCCCCTAGCCGGCCGAGTCCGGGACCCAGCGACCCGGGACCCAGGGGCGACCACCCCCGCCGGGGACCCAGCAGAGCCCAGGGACCCAGACCCCCCCAGGCCGCCACCGGGATTGATCAGGCAGATGCCAAAAATCTTAAACTCCCTGACCCGGGAGCCACGAACACTCAGGCAGACCAAGGCATCACACCCACACCAGGTGTGACAGGGGGGAGGGGAGACGAAGATCTATATCATCAAAGGAGGTCCCAGGAGAAGGGAGGAGTCAAAGGCCCCACCTGACATATACAGTCATACACAAACACAGTCACACACTCCCTCCCTCATGCTCACACATGCACATACAACCAAAGACTTACAAAAATACACGCCGGACACTCATTCATGCTCCCCATACACACCCTATTCACTCTGGTCCCGGTAATGCTGCACATGGGGTACAACCACCACCGGTTACCAGAGTTTGACCCTTTCTGCTGGGGTGCCGATGAGCAGGCTCCCCCGCCCACCGCCGAGCACAGCAACCCACCACCCCAGACCCCAACCAGACGGCCAGATCTCCCTCCTAGTCTCCAGCCCCAGGCAGCCAAGCAACAACAGAGGTGTGCTAAGACCCCCTGGTCTCCCTCCACCTGCTCCAACATAGTGTTGTGGGTTAATGAGGTGTATTCTATTGCTGTGGTGAGCGGGCAGTGCGGGCATTTTCTGGCCTATGCCAGCTGATGCCACTGCACCACCCTACTTGCACCCACAGCCCTTGGTGTCTAAATGCAGTTTAAAATTCGAAGTGGGCACCGGCACTCGGGAGGAGGCTGAGAACTCCCCCTGCCAAGTGCCGTTGAATGTGCTCACTCCCAAGGCCCTAAGTGTATGTTTGCGTGGAATGTCGTCGGTGGAAGTGCATAAGGTGCAAATAAAATTGGGGGGCAGGAAGCCACAGGAATGCGGAAATGGGGTCCATACCCGCACTCCTCGACCTGTCCACCCCCCAAGGTCCTATGTGCATGTTTGTGTGATGATGTGAGGGAGCAGGAGGAGAGAAATAAACGGGGATGGGGAGGAATGGCTGGTAGGGCTTAGCCCTCCAGGGAGCCAGCTCCCCCACTGACCCCAATAGGCACCTCCGTTGTCATACCGCTGCCCAGGGCATGGAGACCCCAGCCCATCCTGCCAGGGCCCAAAGCAGCAGCATCACAGAGCCCCACAGAGCCCGAGGGAGCCGACCCAGCCCCACCCCAGCAGAATATCTATGCCCATCCCTGCATTTGCACAACTTCCAGAATATATAAGACATAAGACATCCAGGTAAGGTTGGGTCCTCCCCCTCCTGGACCTCCCCCTCCCCTGTGATGGGACAACAGAGGAGCCAGGGCCTGCCCTACGCCCCCGAACCCGGGCCAGGTACTTCTGCGTATTCCTGCCTTCTTCCCGGCAGCGTACATGTAGGGACCCGACCCCCAAGGCCCAGCCCAGATCCCCACACGGGGCCGGCCACCCCAACACCCCGAGCCCCCAGGCCCCCACCCAGACCCACCCAGGGGCAATGCAGCCGCCAGGCAGTGACCCATGGCCGCCGCCAAGACCTCCAAGGGGCTCCACTCACAACCGCCAGCAGTACACCCCCCGAGGCAACCCAAGCACCTCCAGAGGGGGGGAACGGCCCCCCAGTGCCAGACACTAAAGAGAACTTTCTGAATGGCATGAGACAGAGCGACAGTGGCGCTGTCTCAGAGTCAAATCACGGCCAGCAGGACAGCAGGAGGGGGGGCCACACTTACGATGGCCTGATTATGGATGGATGAGTCGGTAGATGGGCGCAGGCGGAGAGAGACAAACGAGAGAGGGGCAGGTGTTAGCGCCGAGTCAGCACAGAAAACATGGTTCCAGTCCCACACAGAACGTGTGAACACATGAACACACACAGCACGTGTGAACACACAGCACGTATGAAAACATGAACACACAGCACGTATGAAAACATGAACACACAGCACGTATGAACACATGAACACACACAGCACGTATGAAAACATTAACACACACAGCACGTATGAAAACATTAACACACACAGCACGTATGAACACACACAGCACGTATGAACACATTAACATACACAGCACGTGTGAACACATGAACACACACAGCACGTATGAACACATGAACACACACAGCACGTATGAACACACACAGCACGTATGAACACATGAACACACACAGCACGTATGAACACATGAACACACAGAGCACGTATGAACACATGAACACACAGAGCACGTATGAACACATGAACACACACAGCACGTATGAAAACATGAACACACACAGCACGTATGAAAACATGAACACACACAGCACGTATGAACACATGAACACACACAGCACGTATGAACACATGAACACACACAGCACGTATGAACACACACAGCACGTATGAACACATGAACACACACAGCACGTATGAACACATGAACACACACAGCACGTATGAACACATGAACACACAGAGCACGTATGAACACATGAACACACACAGCACGTATGAACACATGAACACACACAGCACGTATGAACACATGAAAACACACAGCACGTATGAACACATGAACACACACAGCACATATGAACACATGAACACACACAGCACGTATGAACACATGAACACACACAGCACGTATGAACACATGAACACACAGAGCACGTATGAACACACAGCACGTATGAAAACATGAACACACAAAGCACGTATGAACGTATGAACACACAGCACGTATGAAAACATGAATACACAGCACGTATGAAAACATGAATACACAGCACGTATGAACACATGAACACACACAGCACGTATGAACACATGAACACACACAGCACGTATGAACACATGAAAACACACAGCACGTATGAACACATGAACACACACAGCACGTATGAACACATGAACACACACAGCACGTATGAACACATGAACACACACAGCACGTATGAACACATGAACACACACAGCACGTATGAACACATGAACACACAGAGCACGTATGAACACATGAACACACAGAGCACGTATGAACACATGAACACACACAACACGTATGAAAACATGGAACACACACAGCACGTATGAAAACATGAACACACAAAGCACGTATGAAAACATGAACACACACAGCACGTATGAACACACAGCACGTATGAACACACAGCACGTATGAACACACAGCACGTATGAACACATGAACACACACAGCACGTATGAACACATGAAAACACACAGCACGTATGAATACATGAAAACACACAGCACGTATGAACACATGAACACACACAGCACGTATGAACACATGAACACACACAGCACGTATGAACACACACAGCACGTATGAACACATGAACACACACACAGCACGTATGAACACATGAACACACACACAGCATGTATGAACACATGAACACACACAGCACGTATGAACACATGAACACACACACAGCACGTATGAAAACATGAACACACACAGCACGTATGAACACATAAACACACACACACAGCACGTATGAACACACAGCACGTATGAACACACAGCACGTATGAAAACATGAATACACAGCACGTATGAACACATGAACACACACACAGCACGTATGAACACATGAACACACACACACAGCACGTATGAACACATGAACACACACACAGCACGTATGAACACATGAACACACACACAGCACGTATGAACACATGAACACACACAGCACGTATGAACACATGAACACACACACAGCACGTATGAACACATGAACACACACACAGCACGTATGAACACATGAACACACACACAGCACGTATGAACACATGAACACACACACAGCACGTATGAACACATGAACACACACACACAGCACGTATGAACACATGAACACACACACAGCACGTATGAACACATGAACACACACACACAGCACGTATGAACACATGAACACACACACAGCACGTATGAACACATGAACACACACACAGCACGTATGAACACATGAACACACACACAGCACGTATGAACACATGAACACACACACAGCACGTATGAACACATGAACACACACACAGCACGTATGAACACATGAACACACACACAGCACGTATGAACACATGAACACACACACAGCACGTATGAACACATGAACACACACACAGCACGTATGAACACATGAACACACACACAGCACGTATGAACACATGAACACACACAGCACGTATGAACACATGAACACACACAGCACGTATGAACACATGAACACACACACAGCACGTATGAACACATGAACACACAGCAGGCCTCAGAAGCAACGGCAGGATGTTCAGAACGCAGCGGAAAAATCCTCCAGCTGCTTTAGAGGAGCTGGAACAGATCCAGCCTTTTAAATAATAATAACAATAATATTAGTTATAACAATATTAATAATAGTAATAACAATAATAACAACAATAATAATAATACTAATAATCTCTGTGTCTGAACTTCCCGTCGGAGCTACACGACCAGGTAAAGTGAAAGGAGAGCTCAGGCGGCTCCACTCACGTCCTCGTTCTTGCTACCCTGCTGCTGAAGGGCTTTCTGGAGCTCCTCCACCTGAGAACGCAGATCTGAGATCTGCTGCTGGTTCAACCTGAGGAGGACACGAGGCGGAGGACAAGAAGGGAAGTTAAACATTAGAAGATCAACAACTAGAGATGGGATGGGTAGGTCTGTTGACCAGGGTCCAGATGGAGAGAGACGGACACCTCGTGGCTCCTCCTGCTCGTCTCGCCACCGCTGGAAACGGAGCTTTCAGTCGCTCTGCTCCTCGGCTCTGGAACTCACTTCCTCCTGACATCCGAAACACCGACTCCCTCCCCTCATTCAAATCCAGACTCACCTGTTCAACCTCTCCACTCTGTAATTTATAGTATATTCTTGTAATTCTATTGTTTAAATGACCTTATTTGTATTTTTGTGTAAGTTTGATCGTGTTTTGTGAGGTGACCTTGGCTTTTGAAAGGCGCCTATAAGTTAAATGCGCACTGCTGCTCAAACAACAGCTTCCTTTGGGAAGTTAACAACATTCCAGGCCACCTTAAAACCCAATTCCACAATGAGGTTGGTTAAAGATTCCCTCTTCTGCCCCCGTTGGTCGAAAGCAGAATTACAACTGTTGTAAAACCCCTGAAGCAGGAAATGATGTCATCAGATCAGGTGCACCATTTGTGTTTTTATGCATGAATGATTATCGGAAGTTCTGAAACATCGTTGCTTTGAAACAGACCAGCTAGCGTAGGCCGCGCCGACGTTCAGTCTCGCGTTGTGCTAGTCTTCATACTAGCGCCCACACATCTGTAGCTGTAAAGCAGGCCCACCTCTCTCAAACAGGGTATCTGCAGGTGTAAGGGAGCAAGTTTAAGACTTTAACACCTTTTTAAGGCCACGTTGCCCAAATTTAAGCCATTTAATTTAAGCCAGTGGTTCCCAAACTTATTTAGCCGCACACCCCCTTCTATGTCCCGACCATGTCGACGCACCCCCCCCCCCCACACACACACACACACACACACATCAGGGCATGGCTATATATATATATATATATATATATATATATATATATATATATATATATATATATATATATATATATATATATATATATATATATCAGACGTCAAGCTAAACAGACAGGGTTAAAAAAATTCCCCATCACTTTCATTTTTTAAATAGTAATTAATAAACATTCGATACCATTACAATTTCCATTGATTTAATTTTAAATAAATATTTAGAGAGCCCAGGTAGCACATAAACAATGCGATTTAATGGTTTTCTTAAAGTAGGAACGTTTAAGCTGTGCGGCCAGAGCGATCTCCTTCCTTCTGCTCTGCGTAAACCTGAGCTGATCACCTACTCGTGCGTAATCAAATGTCTATAGGGGACCAGATGTAGCCATGAGGTTCACTTTTGACTCAGACCGACTTATTGCTGTTTTATGGTGTGGCTGAATCTGCGATCCGCTGCCACGCGGACTGGAATAACACATGCTGCAGTAACATGAGTTGTGGTCAGGTTCATGAGGAGTCACTGGCTGGAGCGGACCGACTTTAATACGTCATCCCAAAATAGAAGCTAATATCTTAATGTGACCTGGAATGAAAAATGTTATAAAATCTTAA